GCTACCTGAAATTACAGAGAAGAATCTGTCAGTGGGAGAGAGTGGTGTGGAAGAACACAGTGGAGGAGAGGTTCATGGGTGAGGGAACGTGGTCAGCTATGACACGTGAGGCTAGGAGAGGGGCAAAGTGAAAACTGGAAGGAGGTTTGGCAGTAAGACTGTGGGTGAGAAAAATTTTAGTAGCATCATGGGGCCACGGTTGGACTGCAGTGGTTTGAAGGACGAACTGGGAGGGTTAGGAGGCAGAACTGACGAGCAAAGTTCATTCTTTAAGGAAGTTCGGCTGCAGATAGGAGTGAAGGTTGTTGCTTGAGGACTTACAGGATGGGGAATAACCAGGGGCTAAAATTACAAGATCCGGGATGAGTATGAGGATGAAAGCCACTAGGAGAACAGGTAGAGGTTCACAGTGGCTACCTGCTTTGGAATCAGTACTACTAGATCCAGCCCTGGAATTTCAGCCACTGTCCACGATTATCCTATGCACGTATGAGGCTCACATTCCCTGCCCACGAGACATGTCTCACATTCTGCCATTTCTTGCGATGCCTTCCATCTCTCTCTCCTGCATTTAGCTAAACCTCACCCATTCTCCAAGGCTGTCTTGAGTCTCCTTCCCTTTATGGAATCTTTCTTGAGATGGTAGAAAGAAAGTGCCCTGGGTTAAGAGTCAGGAGCTGTGGGTTGAACCTTTTGCTCTGCCACTGGGTGTGCAACCCTGACAAAGTCACTGTGATGTTCCTTTACCTTGGCTTTCTTGTCAGTAGTTCCAAGTCTGACTTACACACAGTCTTACATACAATCCACAGGAAATAGTTTGAGAAATGCCTCGGAAATTACAAAAGAGCACCAGCTTATAATACTGTGATTTCCTGACCGTGCTTATTTATTTCATCCATTCAGTTATTTATTTTTTTTGCCAAATACATTAATTCACTCAACACTTTTTTAGTGCCTGTTGTGTGTACTGAGGATATACTGACAAACAAGACAGCCCCTACCCTTGGGGTACTTGCAGCCTTGTGTAGGAGACAGATGATCAACAAATACATAATGTATGATAGCAGGTGGTTTAAGTACTAGAAAGAAAAACAAAGCAGGATGGGGGCGGCTGAGGAGTTCTAGGGAAGAGTGCTATTGTAGCTAGAGTCATCATGGAAACTGTGTGAGATGGCATTTGAGCAGACTGGAATGAATGAAGGAGCAAGGCCACGTGACCTCTAGGGACAGCGCCTTAACCTTGGTGGGTAGGAGGGAACGGCGGGTGCAAAGGCCCTGTCATGTGAATGTGCTCAGTGTGTTCTAGAAACAGCAAGGAGGCTGGTGTGGCTTGTCGGTTATTGTAAAGATGCTGTGCTTTCAGGGTGCATGGGAAGACGGGGAAGGCCGTGAGCAGAGGAAGCAGGTTTATTTTCACGGTGACCACACTGATGGCTCTGTGGGGAGTGGATTGCAGAGGGGAGGAGTAGAGGCAGGAGACAGGAGTGCCAGGGTGGAAGCAATAGAATAAAGGAGAAATGGTCAGATTTTAGATATGTTTTGAAGGCTTCCTAATGGACTGGGTGCTGGGGGGTACGTAAGATAGAGTCAGAGATCATTCCAAGGTTTTTGGCCTTAGCCAGTGGGTCTTCCTATTTTCGGTTAAAGGCGATGCCTTTAACCGAAAATAGGAAAATGGGGGCAGAAGAGAATGGATTTCATTCTGTAAAAAGAATAAGAGGGAGATTGTTCTTTTTTTCCTCTGTTCTTATTTATGCAGTTTACTATTTAATGAGAAAAAATTAATTAAAGCAGAAGGATCTTAAAGATCATAATTCATTGATTTCCAATGTTAGAAAATTATCTTCTGTAGGAATAAAAGGAGGACCTGGCTTCCCCCACTACAATGAGTCTTCCACACTTACCTCCCAACCCCACTACTGATGAGGGTGTCCTACTCCTCAAGTGTTGGACCAGGACTTTTGAAAACTCTTGGCTTACTTAGTTTGCTTGTTTTATGGGCTTAAGAGGCTGTTGGCATTGCCTAGGGCTACAAAGCTAGCAGTTCTCTTATTTCGGTTAGTAATTGCTTCATGTGTCGTTAGTTTTCCTTTTCAGTTTGAGAATAAACTCCTTGAAAGCAAGAATTATGTCTTAAATTCTTTTATAAACATATCTTTATGTATTACAGATTTAATATATAAATACTTAAAAATTTATATATTAAAAATAAGTACATATTTAAGTACATAAATGTACTTATATTTAATAGATAAATATACAGATTTATATATATTTTTTACCTAGAGGACTGAGTAATAAGAGGCATCAGGCCCAGACATTAGGTTGAGTGCACACCTAATGAAAAGGAAACCAATGCTTCTGCCCAGCAATACCTGCGATCTCACCTGCTTTGTTAGTAAGGGCACAGCCATCGCTGGGTTTCCTGGTAGGCGCGGGGCATCAGCAAAGTACAACCTCCAAAAGAAAAGAGAGAGAAGTAGTTCTGCCTTGAAAAACTTCACAGAAATTTTGGAATCAGATAACCAAGAGAGAAGGCACGAGGGAATCATTTTTACTGCAGTTTACTGTTGCTTTTTTTCAATGCTGAGAACTTTTATAGTAACGAATTCTGCCCTGGGACAATCTTTCTTGGATGCCTGGTGGTTGATGAGGTTTTTTTCTGTAATGTGTACTTGATATTAATATTAAAATTCACCCATATTGTACTTTTACTCTCTAGTAGATATTATAAATGTATTTATGTAACACACATTAAAGGCTGTAGTTCTAACTTGTTGTTTTTTCTGAGATTGCTAAAATAATTTTCTTACATTTTCACCTTTAACAATTAAAAATAATAAGCTCCAGGTATGGCACACACTACCAGCGGAACATAGTGACATTAGCTTTAGGGGAACAGGGTCTACTGTCAACTTAGGTGCAGCGTACTGATTTGAGTGGATGTTCTTAGCTGCGATAGGTGCCCTGAGGTTAGTTGACCGCTGACCGCTGTGCTGGTTTTTAGGCCTTGCTTTCACAGTGGACCATATGCGAAATCCTGCGACTCCTGTTTTAATCAAGAGTTGGCACTTGCATGGTGGTGTAAGAGTTAGGGATGTACTTTGATTGTAAACTTGCTTCTTCCTTTCCTTTTTTCATTGCTCTCTTCCTCTATCTTCAGAAATAATGGAATTGAATGATTATTATAGGGACTAAATCTGAAATCTTGACATTGTAGGTACTTGGGACCAATCAAGTAAAGTAAGGCTTTAAAGAAGCACATCTGCCTTTTCGGCGAAGTGGAAGAACGTCAGACTTCTGTTTGCGTGCTATTAGAACACTTGGGTAGCGAGACCAGCTCTGTGCTTAAAATCTTAGTCTAAGGGATCATTAATTTTCTTCCAGTTTTGTATGGGTTTGTTGATACATATCCTATTCTTCTATAGGTTTTATAGTGCTAAGCTAAAAAAAATGAAATTAACATAGCCTTTTGAGATATTCTTATTTATTAACAAATTATACTTCAGTGCCTCCAGTGAATACAGTACCGTAATAGGTAGAATGATAATGGTTAAATTTTACTGAATGGTTATTACCTTCTAAGCACTACATCAAGCACCCCCCCCCCCATTTTGCTCATTGTTCCCCCCAACCAGAATGAAAGCAGCACCATTATAAAAATACATACTTGGTAAGGGTAGAGATTTTGGTCTTTGTCTCTATTCTGTTTTTTTCCTCCCCGCCATTGCTGAGAACAATGCCTACCACATAGTAAGTACTAAGTAAATGTTTTCTGAGTAAATGGATGATCACTTTTATTCCCCAGCAGCTCTCTGAGGCATGTAGTGCTGCGGCACTGAGGGGCGGCGGAGCCGGGGTAACTTACACTGCCATTCAGTCCGTGCTGGGGAGCAGTATGCAGTCCCATTGAGGGTGACTTTCAGTTCCTGCCTTCTGTCTAGTAGACATGAGGCTGGTTCCTGTGAAAGGTTCAACAATAGAGTAGGGTTATTTGTAGACAGTAGGAGAGATGTGAAAAGAAAGGGCTGGAAGAATTACAAATGCTGTGAGTGAATACATACAAATGGCCTGGAGCTATACCTGCACGTAACAGATGCTTAACACATGGTAGCCGCTATTGTCACTGGTACGACGGTCATGTCACCTTTGTCATTATCATCATTTTTTGTGAATCCTGTGAACTCTAAAGTGAGTGACTGTTCGCATCTGGGTTAAAGAAGTCAGAGATGGCTTTATGAACAAGATGGTCCTTATGCCTTGGACAGAATGTGGGCAGGTGGGGCAGGAGAGGAGATGCTTGAGTGAGAAGAATCCTATAAACACGGACTGAGGCTGCGAACGTGTGCTCCCTGTTCACATAGCTGGGAGGTCAGTGTGTCTGGTGCAGTCGGGCCACGTGGTTTACTAGAGGGAATAAAGACTAAGGTTGATGATTCAGAATTTGTTCATTATGTTATGAATGCTACATTTCATTCATAAAATTAGATTTGAAACCCTGCTTGTGTTTCTGTCTGTGAGCTCCCAAATACCCATTAATAGAAAATTATATGGTCATTTTTCAGTTCTGTCACCTGTGTCGCCTGTGGTCAACATTGTGTCTTCTTGAGATGAAATTTGTGCCTTTGATGTCACATAGCCTGTGAGACAGACTTTGTCCTGATAAAAAGGCCACTTCCATTTAAACTTGTTTTTTTGTAATTTAAGACCCTCATTTACAGTTATTGACTCAAATGTATTTTGGAGGATTAGGAGGAGTATTAGATGCTGCCATCGTCTCCTTAACAGGCTGTAACTCTCCAGGGGCCCGGGCTTGTGCTTTCCTCGCCCACAGGGCTCCTCCCGCACTGAGCAGTCGCTGGCACGAACGAGGATGCAATAAATTGTGGTTGAATTGAATTTTCAAAGCATCCGAGGCTGGCCACTTCTGCACTTGTGGGAGTAATTTGCAGCAGAGCTATATTTTCTGAGTTATGTAACACATTTAATCTTGTTCCTAGGTCCAGCCTGATGACGGGAGGGGCCCAGCGAGGCGTCCCAAACCCTTGGCTCTTTGAGGAGCCGGAGGAGACCAGAGGCTTGGGTTTTGACGAAATCCGGCAACAGCAGCAGAAAATCATCCAAGGTACCGAACACCCAAGGAGTGTGGGTTCAGAAACCTTGTTAGGTGTCTTCTAGAGTCTGGACTGTCCCTTATACCCACTGAAGATCAGCGGGAGGGCTGTGGCGTCCTAAAGCCCTCGGTGGTTTTGTGCCTCAGCATACCTGGGCGATAGACACCCACGGAGGCCCCTCAGGGACGCAGCGACCAGCTCCTGGGAGAGAGCGTGCAGGCAGTGCTGAGCCTGCTAATAGGGGGCACGCGTGCCCCCCTTCTTTCCGAAAGAGGGAGTTTTGTTCTCCAAACACAAGCTCCATCTTTTCCTACACGAAATAAGTCACTGTGGCCTTTACCTTCAAGTTTATCTTGCCCAGTGGCTTTTAAACTTGCTAATTATTTCTTTCACTGTCTTCTATTTGTTTAAATTTCAGAATGCAGGATGGTCATACAAATATCAAACAACACAGGGATGTATAAAATGAAAAGCTCTTCATATTGCTTCTCCAGTATGTAAACAAATGAACGTATATTTCAGGCTTTTTTTCTGTACATATATATTCAGTATAAGCACACATATTTTACAAATATGGGATTATGATATATGTAATTCCACAGCTATTTTATTTTATTTCTAAAGATTTTATTTATTTATTTTTAGAGAGAGGGGAAGGGAAGGAGAAAGAGAGGGAGAGAAACATCAGTGTGGTTGCTCTCACATGCCCCCAACCGGGCACCAGGCCTACAACCCAGGCATGTGCCCTGATTGGGCATTGAATTGGCGACCCTTTGGTTCGCAGGCCCGCACTCAATCCACTGAGCTACACCAGCCAGGGCATTTTATTTTTTACTTAATAGGTGTCATGGACATTTTTTTCATGTCAGTATTAAAATAGGCCATTCTCTCTAATTCTACTTTTAAAAACAGTGTTATGGGGGTCTAGTTGACATTATTATAAATTGCACACAAAGCAAATGATTCAGGAAGCTTTGACCATATGCGTATACCTGTGAAACCATCACTGTAATCAAAACAATGGTCACTGGTCCCTAAAACTTTCTTCATGTCTCTTTGTAATTCTTACTATTGCCCTTCCCCCAGCTCCTAGACAGCTGCTGATCTGCCTTCTGTCACCGTAAATTAGTTTCTATTTTCTCTACTTCTGTGCAAATGGAATCATACAGTATGTACTCCCATTGGGAGGAGGGAGTCTGGCTTCTGTATCTAATCTAAAGATAGTTATTGTGAGATTCATCCACCTTGTTGCATGGGTCAGTATTTCATCCTTTCGTATCGCAGAATAGTATTCCATGGTTTGGCTTAACCACAATCCGGATTCATCCACATGCCGATGAGTATTTCAATATTACAAATAAATTGCTGTAACAGTTACATGCAAGTCATTGTGTAGACATAAAGTGCTTTTTCTAGGTGAATACCAACCAGTGGAATGACTGAGTCATTGTGGGTGTATGTTAAACTTTTAAGAAATTGCCATAGTAGTTTTGAAAGTGGTTATACTGTATTACATCACCACCAAAAATCTGTATCTTCTAATTGTTTCGGATCCTCACCAAAACTAGGCATAGTCGGGTTTTTAATTTTAGATGTTTTAACAGGTGTGTGTTACATTTCACTGTGGTTTGAATATGACTCTCCCTGATGACTAATGAATCTGTGTGTGCCTCGTTGCCCTCAGTCTGTCTTCTTTGGTGAAGTGTATGTTCCAGTTGTTTACCTACTTTTAACTGGGCTGTTTGTCTTCTATTACTGAGTTGTGAGAGTTTCTTTGTATACCCTTTCATATGTTATTGTCAGATACAGTTTCACGGATAATTTTTTTCTCCCTCTATGGCTTATATTGTTTATTATTTAATGATATCTTTTAAAGAGCAGAAGTTCTTAATTTTGATGACGTCCAATTAGAAATATTTGACTACCTAAACTATAAAGATTTGTTGCTTTTTTTTTTCTAGAAATTTTATAGTTTTAAGTGTTACGTTAGGTCTGTGATCTATTTTGAGTTAATTTTTTACATAAAGAGCTATAAGTAGAAATTCAGGTTTTGGGGTTTTTTTATTTGTTTGTCTGTTTGTTTTTGCATTTGGATATCTGTTTGTCCCAGCACTGTTTTAAGAAAAGACTGTCCTTTCTCTACGGAAACACTGCATTTGTCAAAAATCAATGGACCCGTGTGGGCCTGTTTCTGGGCTGTCAATCTTCCCCGTTGATCTTTTGATTTACCTTTACGGCAGTGCCGTGCTGTCTCAGTTATTGCATCTTTGTGAGTTTTTGTCAGGTATTATAATTCTTTCAAACTTATTTTAAAAAATCGTTTTTTGGAAATGGTGAATCTTTTGCATTTTCATGAGAATTTTAGAATCTACTTTCAATTTCTACAAAAAAAATCCCTTAAAATTTTGATTGGGATTACATTGAATCTTTAGATTAAATTGGAAAAAATTGACATTTTAATGATATTAAACTTCTAACCAGTGAATATGGTGTATCTCTCCATTTATTTATTTGTTTGTTTATTTATTTATTTAAATTTAATCTTCATTGTATTTTTTCATTGCCATTTAATACCCTGTATATCTCTATTTATTTAGTTTTTCTTTAATTTTTCTCACCATTTTTTGCAGTTCTTACTGTGTATATTACTATACATCTTTTGTCATATTTATCTCTTAGTATTTCATATTTTTATCCTCATTAATGGCATTTAAAAATGTTTGTTTCTGATTGTTGCTGATATGTAAAAGTACAATTGATTTTTATATATTCATCTGGGATCATGCAACCTTGCTAAACTTAACTGCTTTGTTCTATAATATATAGAATTTTTATACAAGTGATTATATTTTCTATAAATAAAGACAGTTTTACATTTTTAAGACAGTTTTTTAGAGCAGTCTTGGGCACACCGCAAAATTTAGAGAAAGGTATGTAGTTCCGTGTGTGTAGTCTTCTCCCGTCACTAACACCCCCCAGAATGGGGTGTCTGCTGCACCTCGTGAACCTGCACTGACTCATCATAGCCCCCAAAGTCTGTAGTGTATCTTAAGGCTCACTCTTCGTGCTGTCCATTCAGTGGGTTTGGATAAATATATAAATGACACACATCCATTATTAGAGTAACATACAGAGTACTTCCAGTGCCCTAAAAATCATCTGTGCCCTGCTTGCTTATTATCCTTCCCTCCCCCATCAAACCTTTGTGATCTCTGATCTTTTTATTGTCTCTATGTCTTGCCTTTCCAGAATGTCATATGGTTGGAATCATATAGTGTATAGCTTTTCAGATTGGCTTTTTTCAGTCAGTAATAGGATAGCTCATTTCTTCTTAGCACTGAATAATTCTGGATATACTAAGTTTATTCATCTGCTAAAGTATCTGCCAGTTGATTCCCAGTTTTGGCAATTATGAATAAAGCTGCTATATATATCTGCATGCAGGTTTTTGTGTGCATATAAGTTGCCAGCTCTTTGGGTAGATACCCAAGGTGTATGATTGCTGTATTGTATGGTAAGGGTATATTTGCTTTTATAAGAAGCCACCAAACTGTCTTCTAGAGTGGCCGTCCCATTTTGCATTCCCACCGGCAACAAATGAGAGTTCCTTTTGCTCTGCATCCTCTCCAGCATTTCATGTTCTCAGTTTCAGATTTTGCTGTTTTAATAGATATGTAGTGGTAGCTCATTGTTTTAATTTGCATTTCTCTAATTACATATGTGGAGCATTGTTTTATATCCTTGTCTGTCATCTGTATATTTCTTTTTGGTGAGGTGTCTGTTAAGGTCTTAGGCCCATTAAGAATTCTTACGTGTTTTGGAAAACTGACCTTTATCAAATATGTCTTTCGCAAATATTTTCTCCCACTCTGTGACTTGTCTTCTAATTTTTTCTTTTGTTAAGGATTTGATATATTTATTTTTAGAGAGAGGAGAAGAGAGGGGAAGAAACATCAGTCAGTTGCCCCTCACATGCCCTCAGATGAAGACCCAGCCTGCAACCTGGGCACCTTTTGGTTTGTGGATGACAACCAACTCACTGAACCACACCAGTCAGGGCTCATTTTCTTGACAGTGTCTTTCACTGTCATGCAGATTCGTGAAGTGTTCCATATTCTTTTGAGCAGTCTTTTTAAATATATCACTTATTTAATAAAATATATGGAAGTGAAGAAAGCTGGTCAGTTGCTTAGGACTTGTGAGGGCACCTTGACACCAGGACCACAGATGGGTGCTGGTGGAGAACATCATCTGAATTGGCTGCCCCCTGGTGGCAATCCAAGAAATGTCATCTGTGTTCAGTCTTTAGCTGGATGTAATCATTCATTCATTCAACAAAGCCTTTGTGTGCAGTCTCATGTAGGCCTATGCTAATTGTTTCCAGCATAATCTATAAGATGGATTAAAGTTACAGTTTTGGCCTTTGGCCTTTGTACTGCTTATTTTCAACAGTAGGTCCTCACTCTTACCACAAAGCACAAGTCACAGAGCAGAAGTTTTATATTTTAATGAAGTCCAACTTACCAATTATCTGTTTCAATGCTTTTGGAGTAGTATCTAAAAAGTCTTTGCCAGACTTCCAGTTTCCTTGTTCTGCATGTAAGGACCTAGAACGTGGTCCTTACATCCTAACAAACAACTGAACCAACAGAAAAATCCACAACTCCTCTTGGATCTGTTAGTGAGAGGAGAGGACACAGGGCAGGTTGCTTCTTGCAAGACTGAAGAAAATAGACAAGCAAATATAGGGGATCTTGGCTTACTTGGGAGCAAAACCTCCCAGGCAGAAACCAGCACAAAACCAGTACTGTAGGTGAACAATTGCTGGAGGCTTAGTATGGATGGGTCTGAAAGTTAAAAACTTCAGTGGGATCCACTTATGGAGGGGTCCTCACAGTTTAGTGAGATTTAATTCCAGAAGCTCAACCAGGTTCTCACACAAATATCAGAGAAAAATCTCTTAGACTTTCTGGAAGGGCTAGATGGGAAGGAACCATTTCGGAATACAACA